TTTTTTTTTTTTTTAATTATTTTGGAAGAATTTTCATGGCTGTGAAGAAGAAGGGTTTGAGAGGGAAAAAAATGGCTGTAGTTTTGAGTCTTTTGGCTGGTTTATTATTCGTTCTAGCATTATACGGTGTCGTTTCAGTTTCGGCTCAGAATAATCCTGAGGATTATTCTGAGTCGGCCCATTTGATGACAAATATAATGAACTTCTTGCAGCAGAGTGTTGTGAACATGCTGTCCAAACATGTCTGGCCTGTGAGTTTTCAATTTAATTAAAAACTTTGTTAATGTGGGAAAATTTGTTTGATTATTACATTAATATTGGGAATAATTTGCAGGAGATGGAATTTGGCTGGAAAATTGTGGTTGGCACAGTGATTGGGTTCTTCGGGGCAGCTCTTGGGAGTATAGGAGGTGCCGGTGGAGGCGGCATTTTCGTTCCAATGCTCACTTTGATTATCGGGTTTGATCCGAAAACTTCGACTGCAATATCTAAATGTGAGAGTCGATATTTCTTTTCGCAATATTTCTGCTTTTAATATTATACTATGTTTGGTAAACCTAGTAGATAAGTTAGTTTATAGCTTTTATAAGTAAATTTCGAGCTTTAGCTTGTGACTTATGCTTGAAAAGCTAGCTTATACGATAAAAGTGTTCGATAAAATTAGCTGCTAAGCTACCCAAAGAAGTTCATGAGATAAATTCGAGCTTTTTTTAATACAAGAAGTTTATAAGCTAATCAAAAATAGCTATAAGCATATCGTAAGTAAATTTCAAATGTCGGATTTTTGCTCGTGATTCTGCATATAATTCAATTAAGAATCCACACTATACAAAAGGGACTTATAATTTATTCATTTGAGACTCTATTTTCGACTCATTAGCGTAAAATCGTTACCCATTTTGGCTTTTTTTTTTAACATTGTTTGTAACATTGTGTCTCGATTCGATTGTCAGGCATGATAACTGGTGCTGCGATTGCTACTGTTTATTACAACCTTAAACTCCGGCATCCTACACTCGAACTTCCCATAATCGATTATGATTTAGCTCTTCTTTTCCAGCCAATGCTAATCCTCGGGATTAGCATAGGAGTTATTTTTAATGTGATTTTTGCAGAATGGATGGTTACAGTCTTGCTCATACTTCTTTTCATAGGTAATAACCAAATGATTGATTTCGCATCATTTTCAAAAATAATATTTTTTACTATTATTTATCTGTTCGCTTGTTTGTTTGCTTTGTAATTTTTCGCAGGTACTTCAACAAAAGCGTTCTTCAAAGGTGTCGAAACATGGAAGAAAGAAACCATAATAAAAAAGGTGTGTTTTGAACGTGTAAAATCAGTACTCTTAAAAAGAAGTCATATATGTTTCGATTTTGCTATTCATTTTTCTTCTTTGAAAAACAGGAGGTTATCGCCAGACGTTCGACCTCTGATTGTGAGTAAGCTCTTTTCATATAGTTACCGACAAAAAAAAGGTTGAAAAATTCGAGAATGTATCCTTGATATTTGTTTCTATTTCAAAGGGATCGTACTAATTCTTGAATGTAGTTGAAATTTTCTGCTAATTCTTAATGGTGTTTCATTCTAACTTCTGATACACGATCTTTTTTGTTTGTTGACTTTAGCATCGGATAATGGAAACGAAGAGGCTCCTTACAAGCTTTTACCCGCTGGCCCAACTAATGAAACTAGAGTGCAGTTTAATGAAAATAAAGCATCAAAGGTAATCAAATAATATATCACGAGTCTAATAAGCTGGTTGAAATTTTTATTTCAGCTAGCTTAACAACTAATTTTACCGAATACTTTTATCATATAAGCTAGATTTTCAGCTATAAATCATAAGTATAAGCTATAAGCTCGAAAATCACTTATAAACTTTAACCTAGTTTATCAGCTACTTTTACCAAAACATAGCGTGAAAATTAGATATTTTCGGAGGCTATAATACCTTCAAATGTTTCTTTTGCAGGTTTCTATTATAGACAATGTGTACTGGCAAAAACTTGGCATTCTTATTGTGGTTTGGCTCATCATTCTCTTACTCCATGTTTCGAAGGTTTCGTCTTGGAACGATTCTGTTTTACATTCGGTTGTAAATTTTTTGTTTTCTTTACAATGTATTGATCGATTAGAACATTACCATCGACTCTTTTTTTTTTTTTTTTCAGGATTTTACATCTACTTGTTCTGCATCATATTGGACAGTCACCTTACTGCAGGTTAGTTCCTCTGCCAACATCCAAACATTATTACATTTCTCCAAAAGGGATCATTACAAAAAACCCATTGAGCTGTGATCTGCTAAACCCGAAAAACATTTTCGTTAATCGTCCTTGCGATTTCGATTTTTTTCACATAGTCTCATAATTTTTTGTGTTTGAATCTTTAGATACCTGTGGCTATTGGAGCCTCTGGATATCAGGCCATCAGCTTGTATAAAGGATGGAAAGTGATTGAATCCAAAGGGGAAGCAGAAAATAAGTGGACAGTGAACCAACTTTTCCTTTGTTGCTTTAGTGGAATATTAGCTGGTATTGTAGGTGGGCTGTTGGGCCTTGGTGGGGGCTTCATTTTGGGCCCACTGTTTCTTGAGCTGGGAATCCCACCACAGGTGAGGCCCACTTCTTTCACACATTGTCCATGCAATTTTNNNNTTTTTTTTTTTTTTTTTTTTTTTTTTCATTCTGTAATTATGATGATCTTGAATTTTGATTTTTTCACGTGATCAAAAATAAAATTTTGTGAATTTGTTACAAAAAATATTGGCCCACCTAATTCCAAATTTAAAAAAAAAAAAAGGAAAAAGAGAGAGAGAAAAATAAATGTATTTAATATTTAGAGTTAACCTAATTTGCAATATTGGTTTATTGCTTATTGATTATCTTACTGCTGGACTGTCGATTTTGGTAATATTATAATGAGAAGAGTAATGGATGTTTGCCAGTGTATTCTGGACGCTTCGCTTCGTTTGTTCACTTCGCTTCGATATGAGTCTCACTTTGCTCTCCTTACTCTTTATCCCCATATCTGTAAATCATTCTGACAATTTAGCATTATTTTTCTTAGAAAATAATCTCTCTCTCTCTCTCTCTCTCTCTCTCTCTCTCTCTCTCTCTCTCTCTCTCTCTCTCTCTCTCTCTCTCTCTCTCTCATTCATTAGGTGTCGAGTGCCACAGCAACATTGGTTATGATGTTTTCGTCGTCAATGTCCGTAATACAGTATTACCTCTTGAGGCGTTTTCCGCCAACTTATGGTATTTTGTAATAATGCTCATGTAGTTATTGAAAAGTACTTTTTTTTTTTTTTCTTTATTACTATGATTATTACTAATTTAATTTTTTTTGCAGCCCTCTACTTTGTGCTTGTGGCTACATTTGCTGCAATAGTCGGGCAGCACGTCGTGCGAAAGATGGTCGGTATACTGAGGAGAGGCTCGGTTATCATCTTCATTTTGGCCTTCACGATCTTCATTAGTGCAATCTCACTAGGTAATAAGTGCATTTTTCAAATAGAACAGAAAATGTGTGTGTGTGTGTGTGTGTGTGTGTGTGTGTGTGTGTTTCCTCCATTGTTTTGCATTGATTTGAGGGTTTTGAGTTCTTAAAAGTGACTGCTATTTAATGGTTGTTTGACAGGTTGGGTTGGAATATCAAACATCATTGGAGAAGTTGAAGGCAGCAGCATTGAAAACATGTGGTTTTACAATATATGTGAATATGTGCCATAAAATCCTCAAGGATTATTTTGTTGTATATATATTATTATTCATTTTTTTTTCTGCATTTTTTTTTCTGATTTTATTATTATTGTTACTACTTACTATTATTGTTTCACCATTTGGACACGTGGCATTGCAAGATTTGTTCAAGATAATTGAATAAAAAGTGATCAGTCAAAATAAAAGTGAAAAATTGAAAGATAATGTAATCAAAGTTGGAGAAAGATCAGTAATGTTATAATTGTACTGTTAAACAGTTTTCTAGCTCATATTACCCCTGCTAAACATACTGATTATTTCTAAAATATAAAATAAATATTTGGAATATAATTCATGTTTATATTAAAAAAAAAGGTTGTCGATACTGTTTTTCTCCAAAATTATATTTGCTCGCATCTATATCTATATCTATATAATAAGAATAACCATTTACTAAAAATAGTAGTAAAAAATTTTTGAAAACATTTAATGCATAACTTTTTTGGAAACCTTCTAAATATATGCAGTACTTGTTTCCATATACATGTTTTCGAATAAGATTAAACTAGATATGATAAAAACTATTTTTTCCTTAAATGATTTTATTAATATCTGCAATAATTTTATTGATATCCACTATAATATTTTAGATTGATTTTTCGTTATTCATGTTGATAATATTTTAGAAAAGTTCAAATGGTTGGTAGCCAAGCCCGTTATAATATTTTAGATTGATTTTTCGTTATTCATGTTAATAATATTTTGGTCAAGATAAATATTACATCATATTTTAAGTTCTAACCACATTATTAATTTTTTTCCACAAATTTCACTTTTGATCTAAAAATATTTATAGAAAATCATAACAGGTTAGGTAGAATTTTTTCTTCCAATTAATTAGACGAAATCAAGTTGTTGAATTAATCTTTGTCAATATAATTTTTTTTAGCTTTATTTCGTTATATATAAAAAATAAATTATTTTTAAAATTAACATAATTTACCATTTAAGATATAATGACCAGATACATTGAATATGTTTACTAATGGTCAAAAATTTAAAATAAAATATATTAATTGTTCTAGTATTTATATTTGCATATTATTGGCAAACATGATTATTTTTTTATTTTGATTATTTTCTATAATTTATTTCTTGCAAAATATATTTTCATTGCGAAGTATGTTAAATAAACTATAAATCTCTGTAATGCAAATTAGAAAAATCTTGATTATAGAAGGAGTTGTGTTTTTGGCCTTTGCTAAATCGAAGTTGATTAATTAGTACAACATTAAATTTTTTAAAAAAACATGTGTGTATATTTTGTAAATTATTTATACACTATTTAATTTTAAATTTATTTAAATATTTTAAATTGATTACATAAATAAATAATACTATAGTGCATTAAATATTTTTCATTACATAAAATAAAAATAAAAAGAAGACGTACAACTTCTATAACTTTTACCAATAACAATGACATTACATGACAACAATTTTTATAATAAAATAATAATTAAGTATTATATGGTGAACAATAATAAGTAAAACTGTTATTTTCTCTTATATTAATGAATAAATTTATATACTAAAATCAAATTTATATTAGTATAAATGTGATAGTGAAATAATATATTAATTATTTTACTAACTAGCCCAAAATATGCTCATATTTAATGTTCTGGCTAAAAAACAACACTGATTATAAGTGAAATATAGATGATAGCATTTTGACTTAAACGGACAGGGCTTGTGAAAACAACTCATATGATATCTCTGTGCCGTGCATCGCAGCACTAGTTTATGTAAAAACTAATGCATCTAAAAACTTGGAAATTGGAATAATCACACTCAATAATACTTCACCAAATCTTCCAAAATTTTTATCAATTTCTACACTCAGAGTACATGATGAATGAAAGTCTTCTGTTTGGCAGGACAGATTACTATTTTCTCTAAGGCACACAGTAAGTAAATTTTACACAGGTATACATTATCTTATGCAGTCTAACTTTTACTGCATTTTGTTTCTCATTGTTGTCATGGTAAATAATTTTTAATGTATGGTAAAAACCAGCTTACTGACTACAGTTCATCTTTGGCCGAACGATCCTGGGACTTCAAATTTTTGTTGATTAGTGATGCTAAGTCCTTCACACCGGATTTTGTTGGGAGCTTGA